GAACAGAATCAACTTTTGGAGATTTACTTTCCTGGATGATCGAGAATGCATCAGGATGTTTTAAACTGGAAACTTTTAAAATAAGAAATGAAGTCATATTTCACAGTGTTTTTAAACAAACTGAATCATTTTATTAAAATAAAGTTGGTTTTATTTTGAAAATCCTCAGAGTGGAAACTGATCTGGCTGAACTTTATTTTGAAGAGTCTATAAATATTGATTATTGATTGGTGCTGTCTGTCAGATCATGTTCACCTCCAGCTGCTGTCTGCCTGGACACTGATGACATCATGAGCTGTGAGATCTGTGATTGGCTGCTGTGTGTTAGAGCTCAGCTGCACTTTCAGTCACTCAGAGTTCTCACACACACTCTGTGAGGTTCACACACAGACACACACACACAGAGTTTAACTGTCAGAGAGCTGCTGATGAAGGGGCTGCTCCTCTTCCTCTCCTGTGTCCTCTGTGTCTCTGCTGACGGTGAGTTTGTCTCTGTAAACAGCAGCTTATTGATCAGGTTATTGATCAGGTCATTGATCAGGTCACTGATCAGTGTTTGATGTGTTTCAGCTCTGCACAGTGACATTGCTGTTGGTGGCTGTTCAGAGTCTGATGGAGAGAACATGTATGGACTGGATGGTGAAGAGCTTGCCTACGCAGACTTCAACAAACAGGAGATGATCTACCCTCTGCCTCCTTTTATTGATCCTATGACTGTACCAGGAGGTTATGAATCATCTGTGGCTTTTCAACAGACCTGTAGAGAGAACATGAAGCTTTTTGGTAAAGGCATGAAGGACTACCCTCCAGAACAGGGTAAATACAACATGTAACACCTGTCTCACCTCACCTGTGTTTACCTGCACGCCCTGTAGAGTAACACACTGATGACATCATCAGCACTGATTTACTTTGTCCAATCAAACACAGCCAGCTTCAAACTGATTAAATATATGAAATCATTCCACCTTAAGCACATTCAGACTGATCATGTGTACAGAAACACTGACATGTTTATATTTGTGTTTATATTTCAGTATTTCTGAATGCAGTATTCTGCATTTACTGCAGATCACAGTTTATTTTATTTTCCTCCTCTTAGTTCCTCTGAAGCTGAACTGAGTCTGTCTGTAGTTTAACTTCATGATTCTGACCTCACTCGAGCTTGTCTCACACAGACAGTGATGACATCATCTGAGTGAACACCTGAACATTTTATTGATGTTTATTATCATCATGATCACCTGCTGATGGGAACCAGCTGAAGCTCTGATCCTCTGCCTGATGTGTTTGTGCACAGATGTTCCTTCAGCTGTGATGATCTACACCAGAGATGAGGTGGAGTTTGGAGAGGAGAACACTCTGATCTGTCACGTGACTGGTTTCTATCCTGCTCCTGTCAACGTCTCCTGGACCAAGAAC